GCTCCAGATTATCGCTTTGGACAAGTGTTCACAAGGCGATTCAATTTTATTATTTCGTCTCCACTGAGTTTTGTCTATTCTGTCACAAAGGACTGGACCTTAACCTAGTGCGACGGTTTGCGTACCTCCTTGCCCCATTGAGCTATACTGCGTGGTGCCAGCAAGCACCTTGAGAGATACTCCTACCAGGTTGGTCAACGGTGAGAGGTCAGACAAACTCAGTCTCCCGATCCTCCAGGTTGGGGGTTTGAAATGGGATGGAGTTCATTTCTGTAAATATAAAGCATTGCCACCTCCCCGCTGCCTTGCTGACAGGCTTTTGAGCCAAGGGATTTGGATGAGGACCCTTATCGTCCTCCTGTCTAGGTCTGGGCGCCCTGGCATTATCTCAGCCCACATATAACCCTAACTTTTCCTTCAAACATAAACTTCATCCTGCATCGGCCGTCGCGCAGATTATCAAGGGTAGCCTTATCTGCTGCATACAGCAGGGCGGATAAGCGAAAGCATGCTACTGCTGGCATCTCCCTCCTTTCTTTTCCACCTTTTACCCTTCCTCCCATCCCGACCCCCATTACTAACTTTCCTTCTATAATTCCCAGCTTAATTGACAGCAAGCGAAATGCCACTGGAGTAGAACCATCTGCAGCCACCATCCCACAGCACTTATCGGACGCCTATCGGCAAAAGTCCCTAATAAAGCCACGCTATCCCGTTTCCATAGTGACGTTCAACGTTCGCATTCTAAGACAAACAGGTCAACAGGCTGCACTCGCACGCACCCTGGACACACTGGGTATTGATGTGTGCTGTGTCTCCGAAATTAGGATCAATGGCCCTAACGGGGATGTTGTATTAACTTCACTCGGCTTATCCTCTCCTTATTGATTGCAAACATCCGGAGAAGCCGGTGCAGCACTCGCGGGTCAAGTTAGTGTATGTATCATTCTTAGCTCCAAAACTGAGCCATCATTGGTTGATTGGATTCCGGTGAACAGCCGTTTACGTTCAGACCGTTTGACAACAGCAGCTAAGGTTTATTCACGTAGTAGTACAAAACGTTGTTTGTTTGTGGTTTCCGCTTATGCTCCCACCGACTGCAGCCCTAATGCTTTCAAGAACACATGCTATCACGAACTGAACATCCTACTACGCAGTGCTACTAGTTCAGATATTATATTATTTGCAGAGGACATGAACGCACAAGTAGGGCGTCTGAGCTCGCTCAGCGGGGTGGTAATTATGGGCTTAACTCCGATCGGACTGACAACGGTGAGCGTTGCTGTAACTGTGTGCAGAACACCAGTTGTTTCTTAGTAGCACTGCTTTTAGATACAGTGGGCGCCGAAGTGCCATTTGACATCCTCCTGTAGCTGGCCAGCGATGGACCCAAATTGACCATATAGCCACAAGGTACAGATTGAGTGGTTCCATCCTGGATGGCCGCTCGTAATGGAATACTAGCGTCGACTCTGATTAAGCCTTGGTATGCTGTCGTTTCTCCATGAACTATACCGTGAGGAGCACCAAGCGTCTCCTCCAATTGGCAACTGAGAAATTGTCTCAGTCCTCCGTCAGACAAGCCTATCAAGACGTACTGCGTACCGATGTTTCGCTGTCTTGTTCTAATGACACTGAACTTCAGTGGAATAGGATCTCGGCCGCCATGCACGACGCAGGTGCATCTGCTTGTGGCACTATCCATCGTCACCGCACCAGTCACTGGATATCCGAGAGGTCGGTGAACGTGTTGGAATCTAGAAGATGCATACCGGCTGGCTCTGAACACATTGTGACCAGACGGACTATTAGGCGTGAACTAAAGCAGAGCCTGCGTGCTGATAAGGAAGCCTGGTGGACCAGTCGAGCTCAAGAACTGGAGAAGGCAGGAGCAGTAGACAAGTACCGCAAGCTCTTCCAGCTAATCCGCACCACTGGGCCCAAGAAACCAGGCGTCAGTGAGACAATCAGAGACAATGCGGATGCTCCGATACACAATAAGAAGCGCCGTATGGCTCGTTGGGAGGAACACTTTCAAGATCAGTTCAGCTGGCCCACTGCTCCCGGACCTCTTCCTATTCAAATGGTACGGAATGGGCCATGGACGATTAGTTTAGATTCTCCATAGGAGGCGGAGATGCGAAAAGTGATCACAGCTCTCAATCATTTTCGTGCCGCTGGCCAGGATTCTCTCCCACCTGCACTATTTAAAGATGGAGGTGAGATGCTCTGCAAAACATTGACCTCCTTATTCGAAGGTATCTGGAAGGAAGAGAGTGTGCCGGCTGATCGGAACGAATCGATTATAATGGCGATATACAAGAAGGGCGGTCATACAGACTGTTCTAACCACATGGGTATTAGCCTAACGCCAGTTGTGAAAAATTACTTGCCTATATGCTCTTTTGTTGCCTCAAGGCGGAACCGGAATCTCGGATTAGGGAAGAGCAGGCAGCTTTCCACCCAAGAGGTCGCTGTATAGACCATATATTCAGTTTGCGGCAGGTGCTAGAGCAGCGCCATACATACAGCAGACCGACAATAGCTGTGTTCCTTGGTTTAAAGAGTGCGTACGAGTCACTCGATTGGTGCATTCTGTTCGAAATACTTGCGCAGAAAAGTGTTCCCACGAAATGTGTGAACATGTTTCGTGCTCTATACTCGAACACTACAGGCCATGTCAGGGTCTACGGTGACCTATCGGATAGCTTTCCGACAACAGGTGGCGTTCCTCAGGGTTGTCGGATTTCCTCATTGTTGTTCAATTTCGTCGTACACTCTATCATGGAGTGTTCCCATGAGGTATCTCACGATATAGTCGTGGAAGTGCTGCTTGGTGAAAGGTTAGTTGATTTTAATTATGCGGACGACATCGTCTTGCTATTCGACGATATTGCGGCGGCACAATCAACCCTGAATAGCCTGTCCAGAGTAGTCCCATTATTTGGTATGCACTTCGCATCTTCATAGTGCAAAGTGTTGCTGCAGGACCACCACCTACTCTATGACCATTGACCCCTGCTAATGAAGAACTCGAGGTGATTGATCGATTCCCTTATCTTGGCAGTTACATCAGCAAAAATGGGCGCAGAGACACGGACGTCAGCTCCCTCATTGCAAATGCCAGAGCTGCCTTTTTGATCCTGCGGTAAATTTGGTGACAGCAAAATTGCACTCCGTCTAATAGGCAGTGTGTACAATGTCAGAGTGAGGGCCGTTCTGCTCTATGGTAGTGAGACAGCCCTTTGGTCTAAAGATCTGAGGCACCTTCAGGTCTTTGATCATCTTTGTTTGCGATGCATTGCTGGTTCCGGATAGCACCAAGATGTCCGTAACGATGATGTGCATAGGCCAGTACTAGGTAATGATAATCATGCTATTTCGCTAAAACAACAGACAGCAGTGAATAAGTTGCGTTGGCTCGGGCACGTGCTAGGTATTCCTGGTCACCGCTTACCTAGTAGGGCCTTGTTCAGTCTACCAGGTGTAGCGTGGCGCAAGGCTCAAGGTTGACAGAAGTTGACCTGGCAGCGGGAAATGAGGTCACCGACGACCAAACTGGGTACCGTTGGTCCGTCTCATCTTCTGGGCTGGAGTCCACGTGACTCGCCGAATAATAGTTAGAAAAACGCAGTTCATAGAAGAACAGGTCCGATTCACCAATACTGATTTCGGCGATGGCGGAACCGTGCACGCAATCCAGGTCACCAATTGAGGAGCGGAACTCAGGTACTGGTTGCGACGAGGACCAGTGGGAACAAAAACAGATAGCAATTATTCAAAAGTGAGCACGTAGCCGGGCCCAACGTGTATTATAAACAGTTGCATTGAACTAGAAGCGAATTAGTAAGAGCACAGGGCAAGCTAGCGTGCGGAGCACGGAGTTCGAAAGTGAACCAGACGAGCCGCCAGTAAAACCAAATGTCCGATCGGAAGATACAAACAATAATAAAATCCAATATCACAACATACTGAAAACGTAGGTATTTCATGTTCACTGCAGTTCTCTCCGCATCCTTATCATAAGCCACTTCTTACGCATAAAAGTTTTCCATTTATGCCTTAACGTCTTAACCCTGGCCGATAAGCTTAGAAGGTGCCAGTTTAGTACGAACCGCAGAGGTATTTCCATTTGATGTAAAACCATGAATACATAAGGAGTATAAACAACACAACTAACTGTTGAGGTTAGGAGGAAATCCTTTAGCTCACTAACTATTTTAACTGTCTCCAAATGACTGGTCTCTAAATTTAACGGGTTTACTCTCAATTATGGATAAGTTCTGTATTGCAGAACCGAGTACTTCAACGAACAAGCGTTTATTCGGAGAAGTCAACTCAGCGAAAATAACAGCATGTTTGGCGTGCGGTGCACTTCCATAAACGAAGACTCTAATGACTAAATGACTCAGTTGAACAGACCTGAACGAACCTACACCAATATTGGCCAATACGTGTCCAGAGATTGATTCTAATACGCCCGTCTCCCATTGGTTGTCAATTTCGCTCTTTTAATCCATCCGTTCACCCAGATTAGAGACTCGCATCACACTCAGTTAATATCACATGTAAAGGAGTGCACTTCGTGTGGGAGGGGCACGATTGCGTGTGTAAACAAGTGAATATAAAACATCACGTGCACAGCACGTCTTCCTACCCATACTGCCACCCAACAACGCACATGGGCGTCAACTCTATCAAACAATGCTTCTTCTGTGGCAGCTGAGGTATTCCCATACAAGTGGTATACAGTGGACGGTAAGAGAGCATAAAGGCTTGGCAATGCTTGTTACGTAATCGATGCGTTTCAGTATCATTTTGTTTTCTTATATAAACCAAATATTGAGCAACAGGTTTAAACTAAAATATTCTATGTTTATCTTTGGGTTGGCAGCTTTAGGCGTTGTACGTGGAAGCAATCTTCTTAGTATAGCTTGATGGAACTCCGCCCAATCGTGTGCCGTTTCACGCGGGTTGACAGAGTGGTCACGTCTACAATCAACTTTGTTACTCCATTACTAAAATTGATTTACTCACATACCGATCTTCGCAACCGGTATTATTATGCACCAATGAAGCTATCGCGACGATGGTTCGGCTGACATAAATTGAGTATTAGAACACTATACAGCTCAGCGTTTGCAGACCATGTTTCCCAACCCGTCTTTAAGTTGTGTCTTGACGCTTTTCTCTTTTGCCCTATTACTTTCCCGTGTTACTTTAACAAATGGTCAAGGTGAGCGTTTCAACCATTTTTGTTTCGTTTACTCTCATCCTTCTATGTAGAAACAAACTGACTCAGTTACTACCAGGAATGTAATATTGAAAAAAAACTTAAGTATTGATTTTTCATGTCTTCTGAATTACTCGTTTGCTATGAAATGTTTTATTAGATCTTGGTAATTTAGATAGTTGGCAATGCCTGATATTTCACTGTGGTCAGTCAGATGATTCGTGTTATTAATATTCGTACAAAATATAGAAGCAATTGTGAAACTCAACCGATATAAATAAGATGCTTTAAGTCTAAGTCACTCATTTGCTGTCCACATCTTTGCTACTTTATTTCATGGTTCAATCTTCCTATTACTGTAGACGGTGTTGTCAGGTTGTTCTCCGCCTTTGACTTGCTTCCTCGGTTGTCTTTCGGGTTCATCCTTAAAGCAGACAATGAAGACAAAGAAAATTGTGATTGTTCTCAATAAAAGATAGATGCCGTTACACTTGTAAATCGTGGACCAGAGCCACACTTTGAGGAAGATGAAAGCTTAGGTGTGTTGTCAGAGGTTGTCAATCGGCCATACAAAACCAAGTGTGAAACGTGCACCCACCCAACAAATACACCTTACTAAACAGAAGGTAGTGGGGACATCCAGAGAAGAGCCTTGACCTAACCGGTTTTCGGCGGATTACATAAGCATAAGGAAGAAAGCAGACTCATAATATGGAAAACACAAGCCACCAGTCAGTTTTGATGAGTAGTTAACATTGGACATCTTGTTAAAGGTGTACTTCGATTTCGCAGTGAAAATTGGTACGCGGTAATTTAGTTAAAATTTTCCTGCCAGTTGAATTTGTTTCCGAAGCGATCCGAATGTTTCATCACGGGTAGGTCATTACGCGTGCTATACTGCTTATGTAATTTTATGTGTATCGGCATACTTCGAATCTGGCAACCCGTTGAATGGGTTCAGAGGGTGGTGTTGACGAAAAAGGTGCTGCTTAACAGATTGTCATGTACTGGAGTTGCATTCTTTACTGCAATGACCGGTTTCACTCTTCTCAACGCAGAAAACAACATATAGTTAAAGATTACTTACCGCTACCATGATTACTGAATAGAGGAACCTAATGTTCGCTGTCAGGGGAGGGAGGATTCATGCTGATCTTAACAGAGCCAGACATAATTCTTGATGTTATAACGGCATCTAATTAAGACTTGACAGCCTTCATGTGAATGTCTGGTTCATCAAAGTTGCATGTGGCACCAATATGGGTCTGGTGTTAAATGACCTTGACTCCTGTCCATCTCTCTGGTATTAGTATTTTGGATCTAGAGTGGATACGATTTGGATGAAGTTGGGAATGATGGGCCAGAAGTCGCTTGCTTTGCATACACTACACCAATGACAAAACTCAAAGCGACAGGTAAATTTGGACATGAGAGCACTGAGCATTAACTATGTTGTTTAACCCGCTTCGTGTAATACTTTTAGATGTTCACATAATGGCATAGAATAGGACAGCAACTGCTTGGTCAAATATCACATTAATATATCAGTGGACACACTGATTATGTGTCCAATTCAACGTTTTCTTAACAGTGAATTTTTCCAACTAATTGCACCATTCATCCGGATACACACGACACAGAAAGCTCTGACAACAACCATAGCCACTGCGGTGAATCTGGAATAAACTACAGCAGCCACAATTGCAGCTGTAGCTGCTACTGATCCATGGTAACTGCACTAAGTTCTCGACACAGCATATCTATCGTATAGGTTGTGGCGTTCTGTGGAATATTCAATGGGGTCTGTGTCACACCCGGATATGATAATGACCAGTCAGTCAACAAATTCTTCAGCTATCCTCTGGGAAGTTATTCGGGTTAGGTACTCAAATGTCCACTAGTTACTGCACATCTACAATGAGCAAACCACTCTACTTTCTACAAAGAGCACATCGTGATTTCATTAGTTGTTTTTGTGTCTCAGAAGCGATTCAACTGCTGCTTTAGTGCATATCTCACGAGACCACCGAGTAAGTAACATCAGCAAATGTTCCGCCCTCCCTTCTCTCTTCTAACCGACAGGGAATTGGACGATTATCCTGCCATTAAGAGCATAGGTTGTATGGTTGTCTGGACACAAGCTGAAAACAGTACACCCATATGTTTGCCTTGAAAGTGACTACCCATGCTATATAAAGACGAAGAAAACAGCCAGTGGAGCATTACAGTTTGCAAACATAACCATAGTTCCAGTGAAAAAAGTTGTACCAACCGTAGTAGACATAATACTTCGAGGATCCTCTTTGTAATTCACCACAACTTTGCAACATATGTTGACAGGCTTTTGGTATAGACAAAACCTGTTTTGTTATTTTGTGTTACTGTAGGTAAATCGCCAAACGTTGTAGCTTGCTTAATTGCAATTTCCTTCAGCAAGAGAAAATCCATTTCCTTGGTTTCGCTTGAGGAACGGATACAACTGATGGTTACACGAAGTAGCGAAATCCATCTGGATGCTTATTTTCCCTATGTGTTGGCATGCTTGTCCGCAATGCTGATGGTTTATTCAAATAATAGACATGAAAGCTCGTTTGTTTCCTTAGTGCTTTTACAAGGGTTTAACCTCACAATGAAAAAGACTAGGTAGCCTATTTCTGTCGTATTTATGTATGTGCAATTTCTGATGAATGAACTCGCCGCCCCTCCATGGTTGCCATTTGGACTTTGGTGGATATCCGGAATGGTTTCGCTAAAATTAAATGAATAGCACTACGACCACATCCAAATAGTTAAATAGCTTTTATCCAGCTTATCACGAGACGCCTTGGTGCAGGCGAAACCACTGAATGACTATATTTATCGATCGATGAGTCACAAGTCAGTTGCTTACTCCCAAACTGTTGCATTTATTGAGCTGCCGTCTATCCCGCTATTATACCGACTACTACTGTTGATGAGGTTTGGCTTCCTAAAATACACAAACAAGTTTAATTTTGTTTTGTATATGTGTAAATATATTTTGTCGCTACCAATCTGTCAGAAGGAAACATTTCACTAACACAAATCCGGAGCTGGTAGGGCAGCATTGACTACCTGGGGAATATATTTCGAAATTGGAGGTAAATTTCTGTCCAATCGCTACACTTTTTAACAAATACTTCTGAGGAATCAGAAGTGCAGCGCTAGAGATTTTAAAGCAACAGTTAAAGTTCTGAATTAGTCTGAACACAATGGCAATGGATTTTTAGGTGAAATCTCCTTTGAAACTGATTGGTCGGCTAAATGTTCGGTTTGTTAGGCAGCGTGGAAGCAAAAGTAGACAGTTTTATATTACGATACATTAAATAGATTCGGAAATAAAATTGTGTGAAACGGTCAATACTTACGGCTTGGTTTTCTCCGTGTATAAACGATACTTTTCTTTTCCAGATGGGTTTGTTTGAAGGGAATGCAAGTTATCGTTATATAATCACTTATGAAAGAAAATGCTAGGCATTGCCTTTCAGTTTATAAATCCGTAATTGCAATTAACAGAATGCGGTATCAACAATGGATCTTTGACTCAAAGGCTGCATCCATAAAATACCTGTTCTTGAGCATTTCACTTCTATTGTGTTCAGCCTATCCGATCTTAATTATATTCACCTAAAAGAGTAGTTCACGGAATTTGTCTCGATGAAGGCCAAAGAATTTATTGAGAAAACTACTGAGGTTCCTTTTATCTGACTGAAATGAAACTAGGAAAGGAATATTGAGAGTTCGTGAAATCAACTACTTTGAACCTTTGCAGTGAATTGACACTTAGCACAGTGAAATAAGCCATGACTTCATCCATGCAATGCATATCTCCTGATTTTATTGAGATCGCTTACAAGTGGGCACGCGTAATAAGAGCACCCACAAATTAAATACAGGGGTTATAAATTTGGCCTGCGGATACACCGACAACACTATTTTGGGGCAGACGAAGAGCGATGATATTCGTCGTAAGAAAGAAACTGCAGTTCAGAAATGTCACCCATTGCTACAGCATGATCCCGCTGGTCTGGAACAGCCTCAAACGTCGGGCATTTAAGTAGTGAGTTGGAATGATTATTTATCCACAGAAACAGAGGCTAAAATTATTCGGAATGTTCAGCATACGATATCATCAAATGCAGATTGACCAAAACACAACCGACACGATCTTACAAGATTCACATCATGTGTACAGCTACGCAAGCTTCCTAACAATACTAACAAAGTGGGAAGTCATTCCTTGAAAGTGATAGAACAAATTGCCGTCGGCGGAAATGTCTTACGCTGCTTCCTGTTTGATTTTATTTCCCGTTGAACGTACTTCTCTAATCGGTCTTTTCTCCGTCAACACTAACCGTTTTAAAAGGACTTTTGGACTTCCTAATAAGTTAACTAAGTTTCCTAACTTAGCATTATAGCTTCTTTCCAGCCAGTGAATAAAAGTTTAAATACTCTAGCTGTGACCCACTAGTAATGTGGAAGTATGTGGATTGTAGAATTTCTTTGTTAAAAGCAAGTGAAGTATATTTCCTATATTCTCAATTGCTCTAAAGGTTTTTGATGTTTACAGCAGAAAATCCAACGTGGTTTGTAAAGAAATGCTGCTTCACCTCTGTGAAATCATTGCTCAATATTCATGTTTCCAATAATTTGCTGTTCGAATTTTGTGCTTTTCCAATTCAGAATTGGAGACTTATCGTTTCTTTGGGTTATATACTGTATGTTTCAGAGAGCACTCCTATTTCCTCCTGTAGTCAAACCTTCACTGGAATGGACAGTGGAGTAATACTCAGCCCCGGTTTTCCAGATACCTATGCAGATGATGAATTCTGCAATTATGCAGTCGTAGTTCCTTCCGACAAACAAGTCAATTTGACTTTTATTCTTGCCGCGGTAAGTTTCCTACTTCAGCTGTAGCAACGTTATATCATATGATATAAGCTTTGAGCATATGCCATTTAAATATTGTTAATTTATCGGAGCGCCTCCCTAGTATTCCTAGAGACGGAGATGTTTTTATAGCTGACGTGGATGGGTTTCTTGTATGAACATTTGCTGTCGTTGATGTACGTTTGAACAAGGAAGAATGGACCTAAAGCAATGACTTGACACCGGTAGGAAACATGGATTCGACTAGTCCAATACGATGATTGCGGCCAGTAGTACTGTGCATTTTTTAACGCAACGTTATGTAGAGTCCGGGTGTGCACCTTTTTAAGCGGATACAGTAAGATTCTTTAGAGTATGTCACACTAGATTCCCACTGTGTCGAAATGGACGGCACTGGATCTCGGTTTCAGTTGTTGTTAAGGAAGAAAGATACCAATCTAATCAAAAACAGGATCCTTTATTCCGCAGCTTCCAGACTTGTGAAGAACACGTTAGTTCTAACGATCCAAAAATCTCTAGAAGTTCAGGTAGACAACGTCACGTCCCACTATAACGCCTGCGAATGCTCTCCAATATTTTTCGGATTAGCAGCCGTTTTGTAATGCATGATGGATTTTGGTGGAAATCGTGCCGCTGTGCCAATATGATGTTTTTACTCTACTGCTATTTCATGTGCACTATTTGCATAATTTTGATTTGCGCATTTTAGTATAACACCAGGAGGAGTTTGATTGGATGGTAATTTTGGGGCTTCAAATAATTGTCACACTTTTTGCTGAGGTTTTGCTGTTTTCTGATTCCACAATTTTGAAAGATGCATTGTGGCAATTGTATAAACAAAAGTGTTTGACTTTTGTCCATTCTGTGTGATCTAGACGCCTACAAAACATTCACCTTTTCATTCTATCTGCAGTAGTTTAGTATAAGTGTAGACTTGAATTTCATCATGACCTTGTCCTCTTGGGAGAGATCCTTTGATGTTTTGTATCGAGAAGGGCCAGACAACATCTGATGATTGACACAACAAATGATGTTCACACCGTGTGACACACCCCTAGTGCTGTTACCATCCAATATTCCAAAAAGCGCACATTGCGTTGAAACACACTAATGAGTAAATACATGCCCTTGTAAGGGCAGACAATGAAATTCACACAACTGTTTCTCACTTATACATGAACATGATATTTTCTGTAACATATGATTGTGGCAAAAGTGAACACAGTTTCTTTCTCGATAAGAAACATACCTACTATTCTTATTATTAGCATATTGGCCATCTCTTTATAGTTAGCACTAGACAATTTGGGGTTATTTAAACAATTTGTGACGAGAATGGACAGCCTATGCATAACTTGTCAAAACGCTTGGAGCGTTAGGCTGAGCACTTTGAAAGGCAATTTAATCCGCCGGAATTGTTAGATTTCCCGCCGGCCACTGATCGCCACGCTCCCTGGGCTGTCTCTGTGGATCCATCCTCTCTCTCAGAAGTCGAACGTGAGATCAAACTGTTGAAGTTAAATAAAGCCGCGGGACCTGATGATCTTCCTCCAGCCCTCTTCAAATTCGGGGGATCTGCTCTTGTGGATGATTTACACAAGTTACTATTCAAACTGTGGGAGCAGGAAACTGTCCCAACCGATTGGAGCCGCTCCGTCATAGTCACAATTTTTAAGCGAGGCTCACGAGCGGAATGCGGCAGCCATAGAGGAATCAGTCTGATCTCCATCGCCTCCAAATTGCTTGCCTTTGTCATCCTTCACAGACTACCTGGCACGCGTGAAAGCCAGATTCGTGAAGAGCAAGCCGGGCTTCGTCGAGGTCGTGGCTGCATTGACCACCTCTTCACCTTGCGTCAGTTGTTGGAGCACCGCCACATATATTGGCGACCCACCGTTGTCGTGTTCCTCGATATCAGAAGTGTATTCGATTCGGTGGATAGACTTGCACTTTGGGACTGTCTACTCAGGAAAGGTGTACCTGAGAACTATGTGAATATTATCCGAGCATTATTTGCGCGTAGCTCGAGCAGAGTGAGGGCCTACGGCAAGTTGTCGTCGCTCTTTAATATCTCCAGCGGTGTGAGACGAGGATGCCCGCTGTCACCTTTCCTCTTTAACTTCGCTATTGAGGGTCATGGAAATCCCGTTCACAGGACACGACTTAGAAGGTGTGGATCTGCTCCTAAGTGAACGACTTCTTGACTTAGAGTATGCTGATGATATTGCCCTAATCTGTGACAGCTCCCAGATGTGCCATGCGGCACTGGACAGATTAGCACTAGCTGTCCTTCACTTTAAGCTTTGCTTTGCACCCTCGAAATGCAAAGCGTTCCTCAAACATTGGCCTGGGCCGCATCCTTCGCTGACCCTTGGTGGGGATCAGCTAGAAGTCGTTCAAAAATTCAACTACCTGGGACGTTTTATCACCGCGCGTAGGACTGAAGATGAGATCACTAATCGCACAGCAAAAGTTCGGAGCGATTTTTGTAACCTTCGCCAGCTATGGCGACGGCGCGACATCACTCTTGCCCTGAAGGGCAGTGTGTACAATGCAGCGGTATGTTCGGCCCTACTGCACGGTTGTGAAACCTGGCCCCTTAAAGCAACGGACCTGAAGAGGCTAGTTACGTTCGACCACCGGTGCCTTCGCGTTTTGGCTCACATCTGGTGGAAACACCGCGTGAGCAACGAGCGTGTTCGACGCCTTGTTTACGGCACAGGAAAAGGAAATGAATCGCTCAGCGCCGTTATTTCACGCACCAGGCTCCGATGGCTGGGTCACGTGTTGCGCATGCCAGTCCACCGGCTCCCGCGACGTGGATTGTTTGCGCGCCGGGGGTGTGGATGGAAGAAGAAGAGGGCTGGCCAAGCGATGACTTGGTCGAGAGGAATGAAGGCCCTCACTTCTGAGCTGGCCTCGGTTGCAGCGTCTCGGCTCCCTGTTTGGGGTCCGAAAGATGATGAACACGTTTGGTTGGACACACTTGCTGACATGGCAAAGAGCCGACCTCAGTGGCGTTCGAGCTGTGAGTTTCTTTGTCCCGCCCCACCCCTCTTAGCCTCCCCCTCCAACCACGATCTCATTAATTAGCCTTATATAATTTTGTATAGTAATTTTTTATTTGATTTACAGTAGCCCGCTGGTAGCTTACCGGAACGATGCCCATCCGTTACTTTTAGCTGCTCAACCGGCTTGTACCAGTTGCTTATTTTTCCTCCATTTTTCTGTGTATTGCGGCACATTAGCCGAGGTGTTCCCCTCTTCTTGCTAACGTGTATGATGATGATGCTGATGAGACAATTTGGTATACTTGGGATGACGTTTGCGCAACCCTGTGCTACACAGTGTTTTTAGAGCTTTCTCGGATTGGTGCGTAATTTCCTTGATAATTTTTCTTGGTGTTTTGATCCGCGGTACCGGATTAGTTTGACGTAATATCTGTTAGCTGTGTGCACAGGGAGGCTCTTCATAATTGTAGCAAACCAAGTAGCGTAAAGCCAAAAGCTTATGAGTAGAGCTAGCAAAACACTTTTGTTTTATTTGTATGAATTTGGCTTTGGTCTGGACTATAAAGTCCCTCCAGATAACCTCAGGATGTTCTCCGGGATAAGATGGACTAGTTGATTATTTGAACAAGGTCGACCAGTTGATGGTAGTGTAGGAAAAGTGCACTAAGTTGTACTATTTTACTAAGATATACCGCATATCTTGTGAATGATAGCGTCACATAATCATCACATCCAAAATTTACACCAATTATCTAGGCCTTGAAAATCAGTTTACCATAGGCAATTGTCAGGTCATATACACATAGCTTGTCAGGCCCTTTGGACCGCATTTAGAACTTGGCATGGATGGATGGTATGGATTTATCCCGGAAAAGTGACCATAAGTTCCGTCAAATCCCCATCAACTTGCTGGCTAAGAAAAGCAAATGCTTATGGATGTTTGTGCTATAATTCAAGGAAATGCCACACAACAGCGGTTGACAGTGGATATTAAATGCCATTAATCATGGCCAGTAAACACACATAACCTGGTCTCAGTTGCAGGTACCCAAAAGTTAATCAACAGAATGCTTTGCTTGTTTGTGGTTTATATGAACAGGCAAGTTGTGGGAGTAGGACGATATTATTCGTCTCCTGTATTTAATCAATCCCATCCTATGACAGCCGTGTTTCCTATCAACATTTTCACTATTCAGCCACGTTTTGTTGACTAAAACGAAGTTCCGAGACTTTACTGCATGACAACTTCGAAGCTAGGCCAATTAAATGAGGATGTTTTTTACATTGGTATTCAAACCAGTAAGGACCACGGAGTCTACAGCAATGTTTGTCGACCACGATTTCAAAAGAATGTTGTGGCGAACTACTGTTGCGTTCGTTTTAAGTCGGCTTTTGTTGAGCATCTGATACAGGAATTGGAGCCAACTAAACTTGATGTGTTCAGTGGTATTCAGAAGTAATTTTCTCCTTCTAACGAGTTTTCCTATGCCTCCATACATAGGTCAAATAGCAGCTTTTAGCCCAAGTTAAGTCACATTGCGAAGATCTTTTACAAAATAGGTTTGAGTTGCGGTGTGGCAATTGCTGTCCGTTTGGAGTTGTATAATTGCATAAATATAGGGTGAAGTTAGCGCGCACGCTGTCGGAAGACAGCAATTCAGCTATACATCCCATTCATTTCAACTATAAGCTGACCTCTAGTGTTCTTGGAGGCTGAACCACTAGAACACCGTGAACCAGAATTGGATGTGAGTTTTGCTTTTTATAGCCACCCGGGGATTTGTGGTCTTTCTTATTTTCGCTGCAGTTAATATCTAGCACAAAGCGAATCGTACATGTGGTTTCGCTAAGACGATTGTTTGAAAACAGAGCGAACCCTGAATTATCTACTGACCATAGGGTTAAATGGAATATCGGTGGTTCACCGCAATTGGCCGAGTTTAGAAGACGAATTAAGTGCATCATAGTGGCTGTCTAAGCTTGGACAATATCAAGTGACACCTGGAGTTCCACGGTATCCAGTCGTCTAAGGTAGTCTTTGCTCGAATTTACCTCAGATTCATGTACATTGGAACATCATACAGGCTGGATTTGTCATACTGTTTAGTGTTCTCCCTAATCTTTAAAATTGTGCTAAGCCATAAAACAACAGCATAGATAGCGCAGCAGTATTAGCGGGACCAATAATCTAGGTTTGTGCGGATGGTGATGATGTGATTGACTGTATCACCATTACGTGAGCGTCAACAACAGACGACAAACCATTTTCTACGTTACAAATATTGGGAAGGTGATAGATGTAGAACATAACAATCAATCGTTTCAAAAGCTGACATGCCACGTGATCAACCGGCTAAACGTGTTTTGTTTAAACGGGTAACTTGAGCGGCTGGGAAATTGGATAAAATATATATCAAAAGTTCCAGACGTGCAAAGAAGCATAGAGATCTAAGATAACCTCATAGAAGTAATTTACTACTGTTCATTAAGAGTGTTCAAATACAACGTGTTTTATTAATCTGGTCCGGAGCTAGGAGCGGCTGCACTCAGGGGCTGAGGTACACCGGTAGGCTGAATTGCTAACTTTTCAGTGGCACAACTTACTTTGCCGGCAGGGGCAGATGGGGCAAAGAGCTGCGACATGACTACCTATGGTCGCAGGGCACACCGAGCAGTTCGGCTGTGCGAGGTGCACGTTAGCCAGACACAACAGCCGCAATCGACCTGTCATGCGTGAATCACAAAGCAAGACCAAGGAATCGCACGCCGTTCGGCTGTGATAACTGGACGTGAGCCGGCCACCACAACCGCATTAAACGTGTCATGCTTCGATCGATCGGTAGCCGACATTCCCCAAGGGAAAAAATCGGCAAAGGGGTTCCCTGTGAAGCGGTTGGTGAATGGCTGTGTTAGCAAGTGAGCAAAACAACCTGGCCGTGCGTGACGACCGGCCGATTAACGCCGAATCGCTATCGCCACAAAAGCTGTTATCGCCTCATGAACGGCTTCCAACAAACCCATAAGCTATTGTTGGTTTGCTTTCGCTGCTAAAGAGAATCATACTGTTGGGAGCACATTGTAAGTTCACAGTGTTGTTCGCTTTACCGTTTCGATCGCGTGTGTCTTACAGAAGAAATTTCACCCTTCATGGGTGCAGAACACCGAATACTTGACTTGACGTGACAATGCTCGTAGCTTTCAGTCTTTTCTGACGCACAGGAGGCACTAATAGACAGCATACCGATTTAGGCGCGAATGCAAATATGGCCCTCACAGTCAGACAAGTGCTACTTGTACAACTGATCAAGCCTTCGATGGTGGTTATCGTGTGGAGCATATACATTTATGCATTTCTTTGCTTATATTTATATGAATGATACGAAATGTCAGTAATTATCAACGAATTAGAGGTTCGAAGTGCTCTCCGTCGTTTTGGCTACAGAGGAGCATTCGCTGGGTGGTGTTGTAGAGGATGTTAAGCAATGTCAGATATGGGTACTGTTAAACAGCAACCTACCGGACATACTGCTAGTAAGGAAAAAGGGCCTTCTGGATTTACGACCAGGCCATGAACTTGGCGCTATCGTACACACGTGAAGAGCTACTTTGCCGTGGGTTGGTTGTTGCCCGAACCCGTTGCGTACCTTTGCCATGCACTTGGAACACCGCCTCATTGTGTACCGACACCCACTGCAAGTACAGACTGTTTAAAATCAAACGGGCGAATTCCAGGCGCTTTTGCGAATCGCATGCGTTCAACACTTGCACCTGAAGTGCACTGTACCATCTGAATTATTTTGTTTCGATAACCGATGCACCACATACTGGGTGGTTTTGCCACGTTGTATGAGTTGCCGAATGTTGAGATGACAGTTATTGCATACCAAATGTGCAACTGCGCAAGCTGCTACTTCATCCTTGACGGTGGGGAGCCATCCGCTCTGTTAGATGTTGCAAAAATCTAATTCGTTGATAATCACAGACATTTCGTATCATTCATATAAATATAAGCAAAGAAATGCATAAATGTATATGCTCCACACGATAACCACCATCGAAGGCTTGATCAGTTGTACAAGTAGCACTTGTCTGACTGTGAGGGCCATATTTGCATTCGCGCCTAAATCGGTATGCTGTCTAATAGTGCCTCCTGTGCGTCAGAAAAGACTGAAAGCTACGAGCATTGTCACGTCAAGTCAAGTATTCGGTGTTCTGCACCCATGAAGGGTGAAATTTCTTCTGTAAGACACACGCGATCGAAACGGTAAAGCGAACAACACTGTGAACTTACAATGTGCTCCCAACAGTATGATTCTCTTTAGCAGCGAAAGCAAACCAACAATAGCTTATGGGTTTGTTGGAAGCCGTTCATGAGGCGATAACAGCTTTTGTGGCGATAGCGATTCGGCGTTCATCGGCCGGTCGTCACGCACGGCCAGGTTGTTTTGCTCACTTGCTAGCACAGCGATTCACCAACCGCTTCACAGGGAACCCCTTTGCCGATTTTTTCCCTTGGTGAATGCCGGCTACCGATCGATCGAAGCATGACACGTTTAATGCGGTTGTGGTGGCCGGCTCACGTCCAGTTATCACAGCCGAACGGCGTGCGATTCCTTGGTCTTGCTTTGTGATTCACGCATGACAGGTCGATTGCGGCTGTTGTGTCTGGCTAACGTGCACCTCGCACAGCCGAACTGCTCGGTGTGCCTTGCGTTCTTAGACACTCATGTCGCGTCTCTGTGCCAGATCTGCAATCTGCCGGCAAAGTAAATTGCGCCATTGAACAGTTAGCAATTCAGCCTACCGGTGTACCTCAGCCCCTGAGTGCAGCGGTTCCTAGCTCCGGACCAGATTGAGAAAACACCCTGAGGTTTTTAGAGCCAGCAACGATAACAAAGGGCCATTTTTATTACTAATGAGTAAGAGGCTTTTAATTGTATTGTTAATGTTTTCGCCTCTGCAACTTACAAGCGAGAATCTACTTTTGTTTTCATGTACTAGTTAACCAACGCAATTGCCGCTATTTTATTTTGCAAACAGGTACGTTCTCATAAATGCAGATTCTATCACTTACACAAGACCGAATGATATAAAAACGAGAATGGCGATTGCTTTTAGGAACCTCCTTTTCTACACTTTGTAATGTTCTGGATGCATGCCATTTGAGCATATTTACATATCAGCTGCCATTTGAATTTAAGAAGACAGATAAATATCTTTAATGCACTAATTAAGTGTGCTTCTACAGATATCGTAAAAGTCGGCTTGGTGTACTAGTCCCTTAACCGCCTTAGTAAAAACAGACGCCAACGCAGGACACTCGACTATTCAGAATAGGCCCGTTGCTTAAATCAACAATTAACTGTTTGCAAACCCTAAGACGGTTGCAAAGTAAAAGTGAAATTCCGAGCATGTTCCGTGTCACCCAATGTACACGCCCACCTTAACTAACCTTCGTTGATGCATCTGTCAGCACAACTGTTTGAATGTTGAGAATAACTATTCACCTTAGGCTTGGTGCATATTGCCTTTGGCAAAATTTGGACTGACCAATTAGTTGAACCAGTCTTATTACTTTTTTCCCTACGCCAACAGTTAGAACAACGTAAAGAACAGCTACTGGATTACATTGTGATATTCGACGGTGTGGACTGCATGTCCAAGAGAATTGCGGCTGTGGTTGATACCAGCACTCCAACTTTCATTTCCAGTGGCAACAGCTTGGTCGCTCTCTTCAGTTCAGATGCGACACATCGCAGGAGTCCATTCGTAGCTGAGTTTTCTACAGGTTTGTGCAGTTTATCACAGCGCGTCTCGATGGAATCTCATTGCTAACTCGAAACCTGCACTTGAAGTTTGCACCTAGGAATTAGCACGGTATTCCATGGTAACAAAATATTTTCTCAGACGCACACAAACCTGTCATTTCATATAAAATATTAGGTTATTCCGAAAGTGATTTTTTCCCTTTTTTACTTTTAACTGTCAATTTCCCATTTAGACGGCATAAAAATTATACATTTTGAGAGCTAATATAGCAAAGCTTATTTGTGAAAATTTTCGACAGACTCTACGTAGTAGTTTCTGGTTACTGCCCTTTAAAATATGGAAGTGAAAAGCAGAGTTTTGCTGTATTCTACGTTTCTACCATCGAATAGACAAAAATGCTGTCCGTGAAAGAAACATTCATCTCATGTTTGGCGAAGATGTAATTACAGGACGCCAGTGCCAAAACTGGTTTGCGAACTTTTGATCCGACAATTTTGATGTTGAAGATGCATCACGTTCTGGAAGGCCAGTTGAAACTTATGAAGACATAACAAAGGCATTACTTTATGTAAACCGGTGAACAACAAGTCACGAAATCGCTGATTGAGGTTACCGAATTTGATCGTTCATGATCATTTGAAACGCCTAGGTTTCATCTCAAAGCTTGACATATCGCTTCCTCATTTTCTTACGGAAAGAATTCCGTGCTGTTGCGTTAGTGTCTATGATTAACTTCTCGAAGATCAAGAAAATGATCCATTTTTGAAGCGCATCATCGCTGGGGATGAGAAAGTAGTTGTATACAAAAAGTTCAAACGCAAGTGATCATGCAGTAACAGTTTGAACCGGCTCTAAGCGCTTCAAAATCCAACGCACATCAAAATATTGATTATATCTATGAGATTACAAAGAAATCGCTTTTTGAGCTCCTACCGGACATCACAACGATCAATTCTGAAGTGTACTGTCACTACCTGGACACATAGCTTAATTCACTTAAATTGATAAGGTCAGAATTGATCAATAGAAAGATGTAGTGTTCCACCAAGATGATGTGTGACATCAGACAAGTTTTCTAACTCTCCAAAAGCTTTTACAGCTTGGATGGGATATGCTGCTACACCCGACATATTCTCCAGATCTGGCACCATGTGATTATTATTTGCTCCCTACTCTACAAAATCTTTACATAGCAAAACATTTACTTTAAATGACTTGGTCAAAAACCACCTGGATCCGCCTTTTGCCGGCAAAGAACAGAAATTTTATGGGCATGGAATCATGCTACTGTCAAAATGATGGCAAAAAGTATTGAAGATTTATGCAAAATATATAATGCAATAAACGATTTATTCACTATAAGGAAAGAGTCTTTTTTCATGAAAAAGAGAAGTTAGTTTCCGAACAACTAGATAAATGAAGAGTTATTGTAACAAATGCTTCTCGAGGAAAAGTGCAACTAACAAACAAACAAGGTGGTTGATTTTGTACCGTTAGACATACAGGATGCGTTTTGGTTCGTGAATCACCCTGTTTATAAAAGATTCCCCTGGTTTCAGTTTTAACACTCGCCAGTGTTTGGTTGCTGATTTACTGAGCACAACAGGCAGTAGCAAGTACCTGTAACAATCAGTTATTTGATAAATATTGATATCCTCTACTCTAATGAATTCTTTTGACATATCGATTTACTGCAACTGAGTACACAGTGAACAGCAGTAAGCTTAGCCAGTTGAGAACATTTGTTGTCATCTTTGCGAAGGTTCTGTATAAACGTTTGTTTCCCGGGTGAAAGTGTTGGCTGCAATCACAACATGTAACGGTGCAACGCAACCTTGAGGACACTTTTACAATGTTTAAGAGCATTATCTTTTCTGAAAACTACAGCCAGTGGTACACATGTAACGCTTATATTTCACTGAAATATTTGCGCTTCCGCACTTAAAGCCAACATTATATTTTTCCTGTCTCACAAATCTAAGATAAAATTTGATCAAACCAGACAAATGATATGTTGAGCGATTTTTAGTTGAGTGTCCTTGAAAAAAATGATAAGCTATAAACCGACGAACAAGACTGCTAGACCAAAAATGTCATCATCGCAGTCTCAGAGTCACCGTACTTTCCGACGTTTCATTGTGGTTAAACAAAAAAGCTTAGTATGTGAAATTGCACTATGTATCAGTTAGGTTCTTTAGCAAGCTTAGTGTAACTACTTCAGAAACCAAGCTGCATCGTTTCAGCAGGCCAATGTCACACATCAGTAGCAAAACTGGAGAACGAAAACCAATACTAAAGGCAGCTTAATGTGTTTACGAACCCCGTCCTAGTATCGAAATCTAGAGCGACTACGCAGCCCAGCGACGTTGATGTCTTATAACTGTTCATGAGGACAAAGTAGACACCAAACAATAACTAGCTGATAAATTTCCAAAAACAGCTTCTATGTAGGCATGTAACCAGCATTCATAAAGTGGCGCGCAGGATCCTATACTAACCACGACAATCGGAGTGGTACACGGTGCTGTAGAAGCAGGCAGTATGCTACAAATGCAATGTACTACGATCTTCCAACGCTACTGCCGCTTATTGTACTTACCGCTATCCATCTTCCCAAATATAGTAATTATCCATATCACATTCGCAACCAGACATATGTTGAGGAACCTGCTCTCACTGCCCAAATGCTTTTCTCCTGCAATTGTTGATATCTACCCGAAAGCGTTGAACATAGCACCAGTAACGAAGGCCGATTAATCAGCCACATTTCTTTCGAATGTGCATAAATAAGCAAGTGGTGCCTACCGTGTAAAAACACAGTCTAATCACACCAATTTTTAAAATAGGTCAGTTGCTCGAAACCAGCAAACTATCGCACACGGTCTACTTACTTTGTTGTCAAAGAGGATGGAGGCAATCATCTATGAGACAGCAGCGGAGCAGCAAGGTTTTCGTTAACAACCACTCAGCACAATCGAACTGCAGACTACACTCGGTAGTTTAATGGAAGCGGATGACATTTAGCTCGACTGCTCCAAAGAATTTACCAGTATGGATTCTTGCATTTTGCTCCATAGACACAAAAGCTACGGAGTCGCAGACACTGTCCTTGGTTCGATCGGCACTTTCCTGCAATAGAGAATATTGCAAGTAGGAGTTAAAAGTAGGTTTTCCCAAGCGATGCATGTCGAAGTTGGGTTCATCAAAAATTAGTTCTGGGGCCACGTCTGGTTCTCATGTTCAGTAACCAACTCACGCGTTTGATCGCTTTGGATTTCTTGGTTTGCTCTGATTCTGTTGTGGTGGGCGAACGCCTAACTAAGACAGATATCCCCATGCACATTAACGTGACCTTGGCAGTGGGTTTGTATGGTCATTTCCCAATCTACTGCAGTTTACTTCATTCAAGTGTGATTTGGCCCACAGGCGTCATCATACAAGTTTTGCAGAATACGTATTTCAATCAGCCATCCAAGAAGGGGGAATTGATGTATTAATTCAAGTCGATTTGGGTAGTTCAGCACAACCTAAGCGAGTGTTAAATACTGGGAACACCCCTTTGGCATTGGCGATGGTCTTTCGGACGGCTTGAGACAACCCACTGCCAGCAGTCGCTTGAAACATTCATGCGACTTTATGTGGAATACGCGATTGGGACCTGGCAAATCTGGCACAAGCGAAACATTGCAACGCTCGGGAGTCCTCGGCCAAAGGCCACCAAACACGTCAGAGGATTCCTTCACCTTGCATATCAGCTTGGGCTGGGAACTAGAAACTGGTACAGCAGCCAGTATGAAAACAGTCTAATAATGGCCTACCAGATTCTGAGGAATTTAAATCGCCTCTTTTACCACCTACTGCAACTTGGTAGTAACACGAACCTGAGGGGTCAATAGTCTAAATTGGCCACACAATATAACCGGCTAGAATGTCGCCCAGACTATTCCCTTCGCGTGTGTCAGTCACGGAATGTCCACCCTATTGGTCGTTTCTGCTCCCACTTTATTTGTGTTTAATAAGCAACATGACGCTGCTCTAGCTCACCTACAATACAAAATATTGCCTGCTGCTTCAATAAGACATAACGTAAAAATGGTACACAACCATAAGAGGTTTGTTTAAGCATGCCTTAATGTAAACACCATGGTGACTTCATCAAAACGCTTTTGGTTTATCACCAGGTTTTCTTTACTCCAATTTTTGGTTTTCATTCTGTCCACGCTATGGGACTTGTTAAGCGCCTACTACTTTGCCCGTATAACGTCACCGTCCCAATGAACGCGGTTTCATACGAATAGCAGAGAGAGCACAAGTTTTCATAAATACATTTGTTAAATTGAACAGTTTAAAGTACAACACTTTATGAATTATGCATCCGGTTCCTCTTTTCTTTCAGTCACTGGGCAAAGTAAGTAAATCTGATTGCGGATCTAAGATTGGGCAGTGTGTTTAACAAAATTCTTTTTCATATTACGAGTTTAAGAATATTGCACCCAACACTATCCACTGTAATGTAGTAAAAAGTAACGCAGAAACCATTTGTCACTTTGATCTCTCTTATTTTTTGTTTCACGCCTTTTCTTATTTGGTAAACATACTTCATTTTGTTTGTTTACGACGAAGCTCCAACGGAACCAGTTTCGCCACCGCGTGAGTTTATTCCATAATTGACTATCTTAATGCCCTACCATCCAAAACTGATTTATCATTCCAGCCTTCCTTTCTCTTGATGAATCACTAGATCTTATGGTTCGACGCTAGTTGGATTTATTTGGCCCCAGGACCTGAGAATGTGCGCTGTTTGTTGTAAACTTGACTGCTTATCGCTTGGAAAAAACGAGGTCAATTCTAATAAATACACCATTATGAAGTATATTCACCAGTTGCAAAGAGAGTCCTCCCAGTGCGCTGCAATAACGCTTCGATTCACTCAGAGGGATTGCAAATTCTGAAGAGTCATCGGGGCATTTCAATTGCAGCAGTACATTTTGAATTATATCTTCTGCAGGCATAAACCTGTCGATTAGTTTTAGTGCAAAAATATCACTGTAGAAACGATATGTGCGCTATGGCGCCCGATCAACGTCAGGACGTTTACCATCATCTGGAAACGTTCAACTCAACATTGCGTAACAAGTTTATTAAAAGCGAGATTTGCTACGCTATCGATGATGGCAGACCAGAATAAATGGTGTCAAATAGTAAAATAGTTTAAAGTTATTTGATTGCACATAAAACCTAGTCAGTAGTATGTAGGCTCAGCTAATAATAATAATAATAATTTGTAAAGTTTCAACCTATAATCCAAATGTTGCTTGAAGTAATACGTAACGATTTTAATTGTTACGTTTAAGCGGCTTCCGATGGGTTTTCTCTGTGCACCTGAAAATAACAGCGGCAGTTTTTACCTTCGTAAAATAACTTGGGTTCATCATCTCGATCGCAAACAATATTAAACCACTGTAGACGAGAGTGTGATATATTAAACAAAACCAAGTTATTAGTTTGATATTAGTAAACTTTCAGAAAGAGCTAATTCAGACCACAAAAACGAGTGCAGTCCCGATTGGTACAGGGTAAACCGATTTGTTATCCATTTACCATTTCAGTCGTAGTACATCGCATAACAGAAATGTTCCCAAGTCTCGTGCCCATTGTTTATTATCTGCCATAGAGATAGGCATTGTAGTGCAATATAACGCACTTAATGATATTATTGCCGTCTAGATGTGAAAGGTCTCTTAATTGACGACTATTTAGAGCAGAGTAGAAAATAGCCTGTTACTTCAAGCACCTGTCTTTCTGATATCCTCAAAATGAACTTGGATAACCAAACCAAATATAAATTCGCCAAACAATTACAAGTATACAAGTAGGCATACTGCGGAGTACGATAAGTTCATAAGCAACACTTGGATACTTCTTAAGCTAGTCCGAATCCCCAAGAGGGTTGGTACTCTGCATGGAAGTAAATTCATGAGCATTAGAGAAGGAAAAGAGTACGAATTAGAAATAGCTATTTATACTACTGTTTGGAACGCTCTCTGATCATAGATATTTGTTTTTACCTTCCAGCTGTTAATTACATATTGGGTGAGTTCGGCATACAGTTGTCATTATCCAGTCATCCATAACCTCGTTGGTAGTGTGGTTGTTGTTGTGGATATTCCTTCAGGCAACGGACTCGTTTGATTAGTAATAATGAATTAGCAATGCTGTCACTATACGCTTGCCTTAAAATGGTTCTACCTATTATCAGTTGACTTTAAATCAACATGGCATGAGAAATTCATGTGATCGCATGATTGCAGATAGTCAGGTGACCACTGTCATCGGAGTGGTGAAGTTCCTGTCTATGAAATATTAACAAATTATCTTCGTTCATAATGCCCATAAGAGTTATAGACAATAATTAGTCAGCTTTAACAACGTTAGGCATGGCGTCGTTAATCTAGAATTGATTTATCCATCTATCTATTTCAGCAAAGTGTGGTCAGGAGATTAACGATGAATCTGGAAGCCTTTCATACAGAGGAGAGCTAGGTTGGAATCATTTGTGTATCTGGAAGATATCCGTCGGTACTGGAAAGAAGATACATCTCAACTTTACCACCATACGTGTATGTTAACTCACGATTTTGCTTCATTAACCTGTTTGAACATAAATGGTGTATTCAGCAGTAACAATAAACTGCCAAATGTAGAACAAATCGTCGAATGGGAAGCTTTTCAGTGACTTGCGTATACACACCACATAACTGAGGCCGTTTAAGCAAAAAGCTGGTACCGAATTTCAGGTTGCACTTGTTGGGGCACTTGAAACAAATCAGTCTACTGTCCTGTTTATTCATTTGGTTTAGCTTACTCTTTCGCCACACCACAACTTCAAGTTGACGACAGGTTTTCGCTACTCATTGCGCACTGGGATTTCTCCAAAGCAGAAATCGATAGGACACTGGGCTGGTAACACCTATTCCTGTGCTGGGGCGGGAAAAAACTAGTGTGCTGGTTAACTTCGTATTTTCGGGGGGACTAATCTAAACTGACGTTGTCGCTTAAATTGCAGTTACAACCGTCTAGTACTAAATACTTTTTCGCTTTGGACAATCGTAATATGGCACTGTAATCAACATGACTATTTGCTTAATGAATCACGTAATATACATGTTGCCTTTTTTCAGATAACCTATGGTGGCAGTTGGCTACGTGTTTTGGATGGGGGTGATTGCGCTGCACCCACAATCTACTTCAGACCTGGATTAGCAAGTGTCCGTGACGTGGAGTTAATTTCTACATCTAATTCACTAATGATCGTATATGCTGCACTAGCTGGAAGGATAACAGATCGACTTGAGTTGTCGTATTACACTGGTAAGTTTTGACCATCCTTATTTATTGATTGATAGTATAGATTACTGTGGGGCCTTTCCTATAGATTAAGAAGCATTGTTGAAAGCAAGCATATTCAGACGGCGGGCACAATATAGGATAGTTGCCGGGTGTCTGGCTAATTATATATTGGTAACTTAAGCAGCTGTCTCGAAAGCAAGCAACCAAGGTTTAGGAAACTGTTGGTATTCATTGGTTACAATTTCCAGGAGCAGGCTTAAACCGTCTAGTGTCATTTATAAGATGGTGAAAAGTAGAATAACAATTTATCAGCAGTTATGTTTTCTGTATGATATCTAGCATAAGAAATATAAAACAAAATTAATAACTTCATATTTCTGCTAGATCAAATCTCAATTTCGTACTTGACATGCCACCTTTAATGTTAACCATGCCTACTGTATTCCCTTGGTAAATATGCACAGTAACTAATCGTGTGCTTCCCATAAATCAGAGACTATACAGGGAAATATTATCAGTAACTCTCACATTGCACGCCCGTGGGAATAAGATTGAGTTCACCAAGGATGGCCTGAGGTACGTTTTGAAGGAAGCAACTATTTACTTGATTATGGAAAGTGGCGTCGTTGGACACAAGTTTGATTCTGTTGGGCTGCCCCACTTCGATTTTGCGTCCCCCGATCCATATTGTGCCTGGATCGATACAGGAAACACCACCGGTATCAGACGGACGCTTTCTTCCTTATACAGCAAACTACCCGTTTTAATTTTACTCATTTATCTTAGGACAAATATGGTAGCGCAGCGGTTACTGGATACCAAGAAATCCTGTTTGCCGAAATAACCTTATGTTCTCACTAGAACTAGCCTAAGTATTTTGTAGTGTAAGTACCTCGTACATGAATTGTCCACAGATGTTTCTCTAAAGAGTTTACCTACAACACTTTATCCTTCAACTCCCCCATTTTGTATCTAACCACTAAGGTTTATAACAGGGTAAGATTTAAATGATCCCTAATAGTATTCGAGTACTTATGCTATTATTGATGAAGGTGCCTTATTTCTGTGTACACTGCTAAAAGTAGAGGGCGTTAAGCAAATAGCATTACTTTACCCGAGTTATAAACGCATTTTGCTGATCCTCTAGTATGAATAGACAGACTGGCAACGAATGGTGGATAGCGCACTGATTTGTCTGTTAGGAAACTTAACAAACAACCGAATGCTGAGACATTTTGAGAATCTACTTACTACCCCTGAATTTTGTTTATTCCTTGTTCACCTTAGTGTCACAAACCTACCTTCATTGTCTAATTGTTTTTCTTGTATCAGAGAATACCGGTGGTCGACTACATGGTGAGTTCGATTAGAACTAACAGGAAAATTTTAAGCAGTTATGGTGTAAATAATTTGCTCAGCATACGATGTCAAGAATGCTATTATCAAAGTAAATAGGAGCCGTTAAGAAGTTCACACTAAAAATTACTACAACGGCATCGTGAAGGCTACTGAGTAGGCTCAAGTGTTGATCTTCCAGTAACGTTCAGCTCGTAGTTTCTTATAGAAATATGACTCTGTGTGTCTGATAAGTACCTTTGTAGTGTTAAGCGTGCTTCATGGTCAAGACAAAAAATGGGACTACAACGACGTCTTAGATGGACATCTGCCAATTCCTCTAATACATTTTCGCAGAAGGCAATGAGTATTTAGGCTGTGAAGTCAAATTTGATTGCTTAATATCACACAAGAAGCCAACAAGTAGAGGCCACACTTTCTTGAGCCAATCAATTTGACGCGTTACATGACTATATTACTACAAAATGATGCAGCTGTCAAGACATAATTTTGGTAAGCTTTGTATGCAATGGGGTTATTCGGTGAGTAGTACTGAATAGATTTACTGAATACTGAATAATGCAAACAGAGCGCGAGAAGATAAAAACCTGTATTGCTGCATCAAAGGCGAATAAAGCACATGCGCGGAATCATGTCGTTGATTCCCGCGTGGCGGCAGAATATTGCAGCTGCATTACCTCTTGTCCTGGTGCGGTACGCTCCCTATACCTGTAGTACGCAAGATGGGCATCAAGGAATCTCATAACTCCCGACACCGATTTCACTTTGACTAGGGTCTCCAGCAATTTGTTTCAATATTACACCACTGGACACTCGAAGCATAGAAGGTGAGCGGTGTCCTTTAAATCCGCTAGTTTTAGTTTGTATCCGTGTCCGCGTGTGCTGCTTGGTTCGCTAACGTGCAGCAGCGGATTCAACATAGGGAAGTGGCCTAGGTGCAGTAGCCGGTGTGCCATAATGAGATCAACTAGAAGCCGACGATATGATAGGGTATAAATCCGTAGTCTCCTACATCGGTCAGCATACGACATATCCCGTAAAATAAGGATGAGCCAGGTAGCTACATTCTGGACCCGTTCCAGTCTCTGCAAATTACCTATTGTGATCTGGCACTAGACGGGTGAGTCTTACTCAAGCACCGATCATATTATGGAAAAGAACAGAAGAGTGGCAATCTCTTCAGACCAAGTGCAGAAGCTGGGTCCAAGTTCCCAAAGCAGGCGTAGTCGGTTTGCGTACAGTCTGTTCGTGTTGTCAACCGACTACAGATCACAACGTGGGACTACGCATACATTCTTTACGGAACTAGTAGGATGCAGCGGAAGGCCGGCCATGGTGTACGCACTCCCAATACTACCCCTCTCCAGGCTCATAAACGAGGAATTGACCGGGTTGACCGGTAGGTCAACTTCTGCAGTCCACTGGGATGAGCGGTCGAGGTCCTTCTGAAAGATGTCACAGTCGCTGGGAGAATCAATAATTCTCTAAATCTTCAGGTGATCAGCAAATAATGCGCAGAGCGACGGAAGAATCTAAAGCACTTCGTTGATTTGGCTCAGGAATAAAATTGGCCCCAGTACTGTGCATTAGGGTACGCCGCTGGCAGACGGGTACCATACCGTTAGGCGGTCATCCACCTGAATCCGCAACTGCTCCAAATAAGGGTCACTAATCCACTGGTGCAGTGCGCCACCAACACCACAACTCCTCAGCTTCTAGAGCAGGACCTCAAGGTTCACTTTATCGAAAGCTTTACTGAAATCAATGTAGATAACATCCAATTACTTACCCCAATTCAATGCTTGCAACCATTGCTGCCACGTCAATAGCCGGTTGGAGATGCACAAGAGGCCCTTCTTAAAGCCGTGCTGTGCAGGTGTTAGAAGCTCTTTTGACTTCAGCAGCTGAACGAGACACTTTTCACAATCTTCTCAAACACTTTCGCCAAAACATAGGTGAGACAAAGCGGCCGGTAATTGCATGGGTCAACACTTTTTGGGATAAGCTTCACAACCGAGCATTTCCAGTAGCTCAGCAATTCAACCCCGGACAGCGCTCTGTTGAACAGATCCGCCACGGCGGGAGAGATGAACGCCGATAAGAACTTCAAAAGTGACGGGTGAAGTCCATCGAGTCCAGCAAGTCTTGTGTCATCAAGACTAGCGATTGGGTTGCGGACATCTTCTACACTACAAACAAGGCTCTCGAGTTCAGTAGGGGCTGCACACGTCAAGCTATCATAGGCGTATTTTCACTTACATATAAAGAACTAAACTGCTCGGCCAATGCGGATGCACCTTCAGTGCTGGAGGTCAAAGGCTGTCCGTCAGTGCTCCCTAACACAGCTACGGCCTCAGGCACCACTTCAAGTAAGCAAAAATCTTCTTAGGGGCCGTTTTCGCTAAGGTTTCAAGCTCCACTTCAAACTGCCGATGTTTTCGCTGTTTTGCGCTGTTGCATAGATTCCGCTGTCTTTTGTACGCCTCATAATCGTCGGCAGGGCCAGACACGAAGAATTTATTCCACGATTCGCGTTGCCGTCTCTTCAATTGACTATACTCTCCGTCGGACCAATGTAGTTTCAGTGGTCAAGCTTTCTCATACTTGAGGGGTACGAAACGAGCGCACAAGGATTGCACACCCTTTTCTTACAGACCAGCAGGCTGCAATAGATGAATCATACGGTAGCGATTGAGACTATCAAAATCGGTCTTCCAATAATTGTAAAACGGCTCCGGCAGACGCGAGTAGGGCAGCGGCAACTATGGGCTGGCTAACATCATCGAGTGGTCATTAGCTGTACAGAGGCTCCAGGACCTGAATATCATGTACACCTTGCTCATAAATCCTTAGTAGTAGGTCCAGGCACGATGGAGCAGAAGTCGGTGTAACGCGCGTCGGTTGGCAGACAAGCTGTGCTGCCCCAGTTACAGATACAAACTCCACAAACTGCGCCTCGATTTCACAGTGCCCGGGGAGAAGTTGAACCGCAGGCCACCATATTCTAGGGAATTTAAACTCCCCCATAAGTATGAAGCAGGGCCGACTTATGTAGTTTCTGGCCTACGGCTACTAATCCAGGCGTCGAATTCGTGGGCTGCGATAAGCCGCACTCACAAACAGTTCACCCTGTCTCAGGCGGATCGAGTACCATTACTGTTCGCACAAGCTATCTTCGCTACGGTATGTGTGTTCCAATCTCCCGCACAGCAAGGACCTAATAGATAACAGCACACCGCCTCGATCGTTTGATAGTCTGTCGCACCAGAAGCACGAGTAGCCATTGAACAAGACTTCCTGGGTAGTGACCTCAGAATTTAACCAGGTTGCAGCCAATCCTAGTATGTCCGGACGACTTGAGGCAACGTGGTGAAATACATAGTCATGTTTGTTCATTAAGCTACAAAAATTTGTGTGGACTATGCGCTGACCATGTTATGAACCGGCAGATGCACACGAAGCGTCATTGATCTGTTTATCCGCGTTCGGCAGACCTGATATCTTAGTGTCCGTAGGACGCAACACAGCCACGCCAACTGAGTCTCCAACAACGGGTGGGCATCGTGCTGGAGAGCCTGCAGTCGGTGTGCAGGTGGGCTCGTTCGAAAACAGGAGTGACTGGGTTTCCGCTAGTTTAGGTTAACCCACGGAGTTCCTCCCCAAGGAACGTTTCGCCCGTTCTGCAGGCTCGCGCGGCTTCTCCGCTGTTTGTGACCACACAGTGGCTTCGTATTTCTTACACAATATTTGGACAAAATCATGCTTGATTACACGCAGTAGTACAAAATGAACTAACGACAAACCAATACATGAAATCTGGAAATTCACACAACACCTGGGGCATGTACCAGCATTGGCTTCATGCCCAATTATTTTGCAACAAGTGCCACAGGGGGTCAGCTTCGTCATTAGTGATAGCTCAGCAGATATGACGGTAAATGTGATTAATTGAAGCTAAGTACACGATAAAAATACCAAAATATACGGACACGGAACAAGTATACGATAAAAAAAATTCAAAATCGCAAAAGAAACTGAATCGGAGAAAAATAAACACGAAACACAGCTTTGCACAGAGTAATGAGTGACGCAAACTGAGCTGTCAAATAGAGTGAGGAAAGCCGTCCGGTGAGCGCTATTCGCAGTCGAAGGGTACAAAATTATATAGAACTGTTCCCGATTTCGCGTGTCATCCTTGTGAAGGGTCAATGCTAATATTTCTTGTATCGTTCCAATTTTAATATACGTACCACCGAAGCGACTACATGCCACGCGGTTTCGGTAGCACACATCGCGAGCGAAACGGCCGACTTACGTTGACACATTAGAAGTCGGGTAGTTCTACACCGTTGTGCTTTGTGATGTGTGACACTTTGGACCTGTTGGGAAGTGGGACTGGTTCCTTCGCTTCTATTGTTTCACTCGTGATGTTGATCTTAAACTATTATAAACTTTTATGATCGCTGTATGTATAAGGTAACCTGGCTTCTTTCTATCATTAATGCTGCCATATATTCAAAGCCTAATAGAACATTATACTTACATGATTATACCCATTTGTGTCATTAAAGCTGCACGTGATCCTTGGCTCTATCTAGAAAAACATAGAAGTGAGTAAATAAAACGATAACAGTTTGCCGACCGGATACACAAAGATTAGTGACCACACAACGAAAAGTTCATAAAAACTACTTCATCACTAATAATGGAATACTGCGCAAGCGTATTTGGAAATGGCAAACCTAAATCGAAACAAATATCATCTTAGATTAAGACCTTGACCTAAGTGTTTCTAATTGCTATCATAACCACGCATTAGCATCCGAAATAAACGATTTGCTGATGCTCGAAGCGCATACAGAGTAGTTTGGTAACCGTAACACTGTTCTAAGGTTCTATAAATATGTGCATGCACCACGAAATATAAGCAGAATTACTTTCGAGGATGTCCTTCAAGTTAACACTAAATATTTGCAAAATGAACGATTTATTTTCCGAGGATACGAGCATCTCAACGAGGAAATCCAGGGACCACTTTCCGTTTAGTTTTAAACACCTTTATGCATTTGGCCATCTCTTTTCAGCTGATTGCAAAACGCTTTCCATGGTCTTCGCAACTATGATTCTCACTGCAGCAGCGCGTTGTTCTACTCACATTTGAAAACTGCTGGATTGAATTTACATATCACCTTTTATTCATGTCACGAAAATCATTGTATTTAGTACTTACAGTTGCTATTTATCTGGTTTTTCCATACATGTACCTAAAATCCAAATAAAGCACGCTTGTCAACAGTATTATCATGTTATCAGTATTCTGGATATGTCGAAACCAGGAATCGTATTTATAGGAACAATCTGACAACAAAACACCAGATTCTTAACCAAACACCCAACGACGGATGTAGTTATTTTTTACTAAAGAGTAGGTTACGAAACACATGATGGCGTATTTACTGAGTTCCTTTACATACGCTACTCTGGGATTTGTTACCTGAGTAGGCAAACGTAGCCTTTGAAATACGTGGAATTCGTGTATGAAATAGAACTTGTAAAGAAACAATTAACGAGTGACGGTATAAGACAGGCGAGTTTGAACAGTGTTAAGTCCATCAAAAGTGTTAGGAGCAACTTGGAGTTTCAGCATTCATAACGCTTTTAAGCATCCTTAAACATGTCATGTTGTTCCAATTATTTTGCAGCTGGTACTCACAACTAACAAATCGCGTTCAGTGGGCCTCAGTGCTCTCGAAAGTGTAAGATTCATTGCGTGAGCACACTCAACTAAGCCAATCGAATATTTGACGGGTGCACGAAATGGTAATTAAACCCATCTGGAGCACCCGGCGTCCGGCAGAGATCGATCGCACATTTGAGGCTGTCTATTTGCGTTTGGCACTGAAACCCAGCAACGATTGAAGCTAGTTCCACCCACTCCCGTGGTGTGTGACCCCTGCAAAGCTGTGTCGTGTGGGCTGCTGTTGGGGCTGCTTTACGTCGCCTTGCAAGCGCTGGATCGTATATGTGATATTGCGTATGCACGCGGCGTGCCCACGCGCACCGCTATCAGGCTGAGGCCACGTGACATAGCCGGTTGAGGGAATGTCATGACAGTCGCTCACACATTGCTGTAGAGGCTCGACTGGCATGACGTTTGTGATAATGGATGTAGATGGGCGTTGAAAGCATGTGACATAATTGCTCGTGATTGGATTGAGAAGTCTCCCGAGGTTGAACTTGCCTACTCCTGGAGGATAGTTTAAGTGCTCATGGCTACAGTGCATTTGCGGAGAATACATTTACAGGTACCTGATTGTTTATGAGAAATATTCTGTGTACTTGGTATTTCCTAACGTGTTACCATTGGACAATGCCGACAACACTTCAGGCGTTAGATAGTAGTGAGTTTGGCCAAATTGCATGTAAGCTGCTGTTTAATGTGACATGAATGATGAGGTAACCATCGCCGTATGCACTGCAAACTACGATGTGTTGCAGTGACGATGGTGAGGTGTGTACCGCATTAGCTGTGAAATGGTTAACGCGTTAAAGTCATTTTGCTTTTACTGGTCGGTATAAAATTGCATGTCTAGGGTAGCTGTTGATAGGGTGGACACATACGTACGTAAAATGATTTTATGTGTTTGCGTGAGACGAGTCAAGTGAAACAATGATTAATTTAGGTGTTTGCCAAAGCTGTGTACCAACGAACAAACAAATAACCCGCTAACGATGAATAAACATACCTTGGCTAGGCAGAGTAATCTGGGGGGAAACATCGATGTGTACAGTTAATGAAGAAAGTCCTAAGGAATGAATCCGTGGCATGTTATATCTTATTCCACGTCTCAATCGAAATGACACTCAGGAACACGGTCTTACGAGATGTTTAGTGTAATCTGATTAGTACATGGCATGGCAAGCTCAGAAATGGCGTTCAGAATACTAGTTCATGAGCCATTTGAAATCGCTCAGTGAGGGTAGATAAGTACATTTTTGCAATGATGTACTACTATCACTTGACTGTTCTGTTTTCGGGAATATCGATGGTTTGAGAAAACGATAGTTGGTAAACTGGGAAACACAAATGGCGTAAAGCCTATGTGTGTGTGTGTGTTGTGATCACTTGAACAATGATTTAGCAAGGGTTCAAACGGAGGTGTTTGTCAACTACCGTATGATGGTTAGGATGCGAACTGCAAATGCAAGTGTATGCTTATCACACGTTCGGGCGTATATTATAATGAATGCTTTGCTAATAGGCGATAGCCTAAAACAAACATTAAACTCAAGCATACTGAACAACAGTAGGAGCGGTGATAAATGTCGTAAAGTGTAAGGAAACGAACATATGATCGCTCCCACAAATACCGCGTCCTTGGATCCATGTAACATTTAACTCCGGTGGATTGGCACGATAATATTATCCGCGGTAGCTTTATTTAGGTAATGAAGTGCTGAGAGACAAGAGAAAATTCCAACCGTTGTTTGAACATATCTAAATTAATGGAGGAGACAACTGGTTTTCGGAGAGTTCCAAGGTTGACAAACCTGAAGGGTAAAGAAATTCACTCAGGACTCTATATGACTGCGTTATTTACTCAGTTTCAGGCAGTTACCTCTGAGCTTGGTGTTTTGGTTAACTTTTAGCAAGTGTTGGTATACTTGCTTGGTGTCGCTCCAGATTTAGTGCACTAATATGAGATTACCGCAAAACCTTTGGTAGCGTCCGCTGAAAACTCTCGATAACTACAGCCTTCGCTGGCAATAGTAATTGCGTAGGGCCTTAACATTCTTTGTTGCCGTGGGTTGTGGTGTTTCTAGCATACCTAGGTCACGTTTCAACCAACGTTCGAATACTTGGATAGCGTATTCAAAGGGAGCTCGCCCCTAGGAATCGTGTATCATTGGGAAGGTTGATGAGTCGAGCCTCCCGAATGCTCTTCGCAGCAGGCAGACGTGCTGATTGTCATTTTGCCTAAGGAATCATTCTGTTTGAATAGTTGACGTTACTATGTATGAGCACACCAAGGTCACCTTCCTGGCAGCTGGTCTACAATCTGTGTACCCCACATGTAGTCATGCCCATGGTCTAGTAGTGCAGCTAGATGCTTGTCTACATTTAATGGTAGAGATTTCTGAGCTTACCGGTTCGAAATCTTCGTAAGGTCGCGCTAGAGCTCTACATGATCGTCCGGTTCTCTGACTACTTGCCATTAGTTAATATCGTCCGCGGAAAATAGGAAATCGAGTGATTGCCCTCACTAGATGGTATATGAAAATCAAGAATAGGCGAGGTTTCAGCGCTGAGCCGTGTGGTACACCGCATTCCACATCGATTGCTTCCGACAGGGGTTCCCGGACTCTCACATTCAGCGGACGTTTGTGTAATAAATCGGTTATCGAAAGCAGGATTGGGTAGTCTATACCGTGGTTCTGAAGTTCAGGAAGTAGAATTCGGTGATTTGACCAATCAAACGCTTTTGGAAAGTCCGGGTAGGTAAGGTTTGTTTCTGCGCCATCATCAGGTGCCTCAATCCACCTACTATGTGCAACAAATGGGTCAGTAGTACGTGAGCACATTCGGAGAAAGCCATGTTGGTCCGGCAGGGCTATGCTATGGTTTTGCAGATGACGCATCTGCACATGTGCGATGATTGTTTCAGTGACTGTGGAAAGTATAGGAAGCGGCCTTATCGGTCGGTAATAGGTTGTCAGCGTGAGAACCACCCTAATGAGTAGGAGTGATGATCTTTCGTTTCTATGTTGATGGAAGTTCGTTCTCCAATAGACAATGCTGAAAAAAGTGGCCAGTAGGGCTGTTAGACCACTAGCTAATATCTGCAACGTTAGCGGCCGAATGTTCTCGACTACAGGAGGACTGTGTGTTCGCAATACTAACGGTTACTGAAACACAGCTCTTACAGTGAAGGTGATGTTGCAGAAACCTGACAAGGGAATAATAGAAAAGGGGCGAATACTTGGTCACGTTAACCGCCATAGCACTTGTGAGTAATGAAAGCGCAAGAGCTTAACTGCTTCCATTGCTGATAACGTGTACTCGTCCGTCGTAACAAGTGCTGCAATTCCGCGCTGCACAATAAGAAGGTCACTCACGTGGCTGCACAGGTGTTTGCGTTTCGTACGGATTCGCTTCATTGACTGCTGCTGCTGCGTCACGGTATCCTCGTGGATCAGGTTCAAACAGAAGTTACGCCCTGCTGCGTATTCAGATAACCCTTGTCAGCTCGCCATTCCAAATCTCTAAGGGACATAAATTCGCTTGTACTGCTCCACAGAAACGACTAACTTTGGAGTTGACGATGGAATTCTGTCCCAATGCACGCGCTACTAGTGGGCTTAACTTCTTCTTGAAGGTTTCCCAGGTGACTTTTGTGGGTATTCGGTTAGGAAGGTCCAATATGTATCTCTAACAAGCGTGGACAAGACGTAGTGTGTGATAGTATATACCACACCACTCCCATTCAGGAAGTTCCGTATAGCACACTTTGTCAAACAGTAGAAGGACATGGCCACCGTGACCGAAGGATGCACTTGCAGCTATTCCGCCGACCATATGTTTTTACTTGCTAAGTAAAGGTCACATATAAAGAGTCTGCTAACGGTTCAAAATCTGGTGAGGAAGGTGACGTGGTTGCAGAGAGGGTAACTGGAAATTAGCTATTGCAAACAGACTTCACACTGTGCTTCCTCGGTTGCTGACGTTTCGAATTCGTGCACATTTAAGTCCCCCGCGATGGAAATGTGGCAGTATGACTAATTTGGCGCAACCGTTGAAAAGTGATTCGTTTTGCAATCCATTTTCGATGCAGCGTTTAACAGTCGGTAAATTAGGGTCACTAGGCATTTGTCCATGTTGCGCAACCATAGGCAACAACACGACGAATCAGGAGCCCGAAGTTCTACATGGTAAATAACAACGTCATACGTTAGCTTCGTAATAAAGAATAACACTACCGCTCCTTCCAGTTATCTCGTTCTTAGGCAGTGACACAAGGTATAAAATGACCGCAGAATGAGTTATCTACAATCATGATGAGATACCCCCATTGTAAAGTCCGGCCCTATTTGTTTTTGAACAATTGCTATCAAAACCTTACCAATTAGTGTACAAACGGGATAATGTTTAGGATATTAGTTGTGCGCTGATGCAAGTCATATTCGTGTTTGCTTTCAAGCCTACCGCTTTGTGGTAGGTCTCTAACCGGTTTTTGTTGGTTGTTGGTTTATGAAGTTCGGTCGGGCTACATCATCTCACGTTCTGGGCTATGATGTT